AATTGTTATCTATTAAATTAATATTATCTATTAAAATATTTATAAACTGATGATGAATTGCATTTACAGTATCTTTTAATGGTTTATCTTTGAGATGTCACAATCTGATATTTCTATGCATTTTAATTTAATTCTATAATTTTAAAATTTCACGGTACATCAGCTTAAAATGTATAAAGCGCTGACAAAATTTTTTTGTTGCACAGCACTCGAAAGATAGAGCATGAAATTAAAGAACCATTTAAATCTAACCAGGCTACTGCACTCACCCCTACATCACTGATAGATATGCCCACTTCCGCCCCAAACTTGATGTTTACATTAAATCTGGAATATGTGGCCGAACAGTATATTGTTAACATTTTGTCAATATTATGATCCCTCCAGCTAATTTTTTCAAATAAATATAATTTACACAGCACAGAAGATGGAAAATTGTTTTTAAATCCAGTATAAAACAATGAAATATCCAATCCAGTAATTTTCCAATCCAGTATAAAACAATGAAATAACTGCTTTGAGAAATATTATGCAGTGAAATTTATTTTCAGCAACATGATATACCTATAAAGATGAAAATATCTCAACTATGTAATATTAATCATTTGACACAGCCATTTGTATGTAAGTACAATGAATCCTCTTCATTATATATTTATTCTGCTTTTCTGCAAATTACACTCAGACTTTTTATTAAATAAAAAAAGATGCATAGAGGAAGTATCCAGTTGTGATGAAATTCCATATGCTTTTCAATCTAACATGCAAATAATTGAATTTTGGCAGCCAATAAATAAATAGCTGAAGCTAGACAACATCACATTCAGACAGAAACAAAATTCCACTTCTAAAGCATAGCTTCCATTCAAAATTGACTCTGTCTACTCACTTCAATTGCACCAGTGCCTCGCAAATGGGTTCATGCACAGTATATATCACCATATATCAAGTCATGCAACTGGCATAAAAGAAATAGGGTGGTTAAATTGAAAGATTTGCTCAACATTGACTCACAGCAATGCTGTCCATTCGATGATTTTGGCAAGAATGCTTAGACTGCAACCTACAGTGAAATTTTTCAGTAGTCACACATAAATGATGTTTTTACAATTTTAAAAATGAGTAAATAATGCTTTTTTTTTATTAACTAATCTACATAACTTAAAATCCATAAATATAAAAACTGAAACATTAAAACACTTCTTGTAAATTATAAGCATATTTATTTAGTTGGAGATTTGCATTTTATTACTCAAGCGGAAATATAATGAAATCTACTATCACATTTTTGAAGTGAATACTTTAAATCACAAATAATCATAAAAGGGGGAAATCAGAATCTATAAAACATATATCCATATTAAGTTTATGAATTCTGATTCCTATACAGAAATTTTTTAAAAATATTTTACTATTAGATAGACATGGTACTCATTACTAAAACGTACTCATAGTTTATTTACAAATTATGAACATAAAAATTGTAATTAACATACTTAGCGAACTTACAATCTGAATCAGAGAATCTTTTTCAATAACACAGTTATTTGTTTGCCCACATGTTTAACTTTTCAAGGACAACTGCATCAAGAGTTTACATATCTAAGTTTGGTCAAAATGCAGTCTGATTTTTTTAGATAATAAACCTTTTTCACGGCTTGCATTCAAATGAGGTTTTAGTAAGAATGACATCATGACAAAGAGCATTTTATATTTAATCCTCCTAACTGGCAAGGCCATATATATATAAAGCCTTGAGTATTTTTTGTGATCTCTTTAAGAAAGTATAAATACCTGCATTTTGAAATATGTCCAAGAAATTAAGGTAATATATTAAAAGTACGTAAATGCAGGTATAAAGTACCAGGGGCATTTTAACATCAAAATCACGAAAATACCTCTTCCTTGTGGCAGTTTTGGGAAATTTGAGCTACCTTAGCCCATGCTGGTCAGACACTTAATGCACCCAGTGATATCTTTTAATTCTGTGATTTCTACCCATACTATATCAATATTCAAAATTGCAACTTCTTTTAAATTATCTATTTAATATATAGAAAATACAATTTCTACTTGATAAAGATTTTTTTTGTCTGTAATGGTTTATTTATGCGATGCATATCGCAACTAATGCAATTGGCACTAACATCTAACTCCTTAGCAAGCTCTCGAGTGGCTGCATACTGATCTTCTTCCACAACTTTTCGCAGGTGGGCCTCATCAACATAAGTAAACCGGCCACAGTGCTCTGCTTCTTGAATGTCATAGTCCTTGTTTTTGAACTTTTGGTATCAAACCAGTGTCATATGATACAAGATTAGTACCTAAAGCTATACACATGATTTGGTGACATACTGTAGCTGACGTTTTGCAACAGAACTGGAAGTAAATGATGGTTATAATCTGGTGGTGTGATAGCTCCATTTCAGACACCTTGCACTTTACCTTCCAGCACGAGCACTTGGCAATTTTACATGAGCACGCGCACTTCGTACTTTTTACGACATCCATTATTTTACCATTTTTGGCACGAAAAACGACAGAAATGAGTGATAAATTTGTTAAGAAATAAACTATTCATCTTATTATTGCAAAATACAAATGATATCACGTTCAAATAAAAGTAAATTATTTTTAATTTCTTATATTAGTGAGATGGAAATGCAATGATATATTTCATTATAGAAAATGTTAACTTTATTATTTAATAATTGTATTTAAAATCGAAACTAATTTTAATATTCATCAAAGACAAGTATAGACAATAAAAAAGAAAAACACCATGGGAAAAAAGTACGTTTAGCATTATGTACTTCTGCAAGGAAATTTACTTCTTACTGGTTACAAAAACACACTTTAAACTAACTTTAATGTTTTTACTTATTTCTAAAAAATAGAAATAAAAGAAAATAAGGAATGGAAAGAAAATAATTAATGGAAATTGCTATTGTTCTTCCATCCAAAGGTTTCCTTGTCTTCCTTTACTTCATGAGATAATTCTTGAAGAATCCGAGCAAAATCAGCTGGTTGCACATACTTTTTGCCATGAAAACCGATATAAAATTTACAAAGCCAAATGTATTCAAATTAAAATAATACACAGCAACTAATCACACAAAATTACAAAATATTTGAGAAAAAAATATTTTCTGAATTTTAAAACATGACTATGTGTGTGTTGTAACTTTTAAGGAAAAGCTACCACAAAGCACAAAAGCCCAGTTAAGAAAAAGAAAGTAAATGACTTCCTGTTGGCACATTCCACGATGTGTTGAAGGGTAGAAAAAGGAGGAATAGAAATAACCTTCAGACGTCTCAGCTTCGATATGCGAAAAATGTGCATTAAAAACTGAATTTGTCGTAAATTTTGCGCATACGCTCATGCTGGAAGGTTTATGATTTTTTTTAATTCACAACACAGTGTTTGTTCTAAAGTACATCTCTTTCTTTCAAATGCCAAAAATCATGTGACAAAATATGATTAAACACCCCAACGTGAACTGTTTGTGCAGATGATATTTGAGGTAGTGGGAAATGCTTGCTAAAACCAGGTAGATGTTTCATTTGATTTTATTGTACTAATTCCTTTATGCCTTTGAGAAAATATATGCCATTTACAATCATCTTTTCTTCTGTATGCAGATGAAAAGTCTTGTTACTCTTCTTGTTAAAAGTCTTGTCAGATTTATAGAAATTTTAGATGCTTTAATGCAATGAAATTCTGAAGAATATAAGACTATAAATTTCTGGTTTGATAATTTTAGAATCTTATTTTAAGATGGCATAATTCTCAAACTTAAAAAAACTGCCAGTCTAAATCACTATTCACAAGAAGTGCATGCTAAGTTTTCTTTTCAAATCCATACAAATGAAATAAAATGATCTGCACTGTAAACATCCTTTCTACTTGAATGAAAACATAAACAATGATAATTTTCATGCTTTTGATTGCAACCTTCAAAACCATCAAAACTGTTCACTTACCATGTGATAAATGATGTCACAATCATTTTGCCAGTCATCAATGAATGTTTAAGCCAGTTTTGTTTTGCATGCCACTTCCCTTTCCTCCCTTTTCGGATATTCGTGCCTTTTTCCCTATTTTTCAGGGTTCTTACTTTTTAAAGAATTTCAATAGAAACTACAGAGAATCCATAACACGAGTCTATGGGAATGGTTTAAATCATGGCAGAGCACAGCATCAAGAAGGCAGAGTTGATCAATGGAGATGGCAAAATGTGAATATACATACATACACAGCAAACATCAAACCCCTTTGGTTGATATCTGTGACATCCTTACAGCACAATAGTATGTTGATAATATTCTTTGCCCCACTGTGCTGCCTGAGGCAACAAGGTAATGCTTAACCACATACAGCAATCTCTTCTACTGATTGTTTTCATGACTGTCATTTATTTCCTTGCTCAGCTAGATTGCCAAATCTCTTCCCAATACTGCACATTTGGAATCAAAGAGCAGATGCTTCTGGCCATCCCAACACGTCTTGACCTAACTCAACAATCAGAAAAAGTTTGGCAAGAAATTGCACAGATCATCTGTCAAACCTAGCATCAACACAACCTAGTGAAACAAAGCCAAAAAACAGCTTGCATAAGGGTCAGCATTGAGATAATGCCTCCTTGATTGATTTACTATATATAACTGTATCTCATCAATAAAGCATCAGATTCCTCTGAAATTTAAAATGTGTCTTTTTTCCACACATATACATCAGATCTATCAAATTTCTTCTTTGTTGGATAATTCCATCCCCCCTTACAGTATATTTTATTTTCTCTTGCAATAACAAGCAGCTTTATCCAATATGATGTGAAGGTATGTAAATACATGCTGTATTTCATGCTAATTTAATTTTTAAAACATTTCATTTAAATGTGCCAAAATGTATCAGTAATAACAACAGCAACAATAATAATAATAATAAAGAATAAAACTATATTAAGCAATAGGACAGATTACATTTTTAAAATATTTACCTGCAACATGCAACAGCTGTAACAGAATTAGTATGTCCATAACCTGTATACAGACTACTAAAACATGACGATTCGTTTTCAATAAACCAAACTTTTACACTGTTATCCTAAAAAATGAAGAAAATGACATACATATTATAAATGCAATGAAATATATAAGATACAAAATTTTTTCACACATATAAGATTATAATTTTGCATTATAGTTAAAATAGGTAATTCTTTAACAAATCTGATTGTAATATATTTCAAATAGCTTTTATAACCAAGAAGAAATATGCTCATTAATGTCAGAAAGTATGTTGTATAGAACTGATCAATTGTGATTACACTGTTTTAAAACCCTAATTGAAACATTTAGTTTGCTTTGCTTTAGTTAGCTACACAAAACACAACAACAGTTGACGCATATGGAATTGTGCTTAACTATTATCCCTTCTGCTCATACACAGCGTTCAAAAAAGGTGTCAAATGATTACCCCCCCCTCAATTACAAAGTTTCTTTCAGCAGTAGTAGTAAAAAGGATTTCTAAATACAAAATTTAACATTTCATACTATTTCCAAACAGCAAAATGTTTAATTAGTAAAATGTGAATTACATGCAAAATTCAGTGCTATATCATAATAAATATTTTCTTGAGGCCTGGTAATAAAGCAAATAATTAGTTCTGTTTTAACCACATTTTAGCACTGTTCATCAAGGAATTATGTCCTGTAGAAACTCACTCCCTGAAAGTGATGGGAAATTCGGCAGAGTATTTAACTTTAGTAAATAGTATACTTCATAGCTGCCAGCTTTGAAATCTTACAAACCAAAAGATTTTTGTGAAGGAAAAAAAGAAGAAGAAAGATTTTTGACTTTATACTTCATAGAAGTGATACCATTTCAAAGGAACTCCAAACTGAGTTTAATCCACTTTATAATACACATTTCAGGTTATTGTATTATTTGCAATTCAATTTTGATGTAAAATATTTCAGCATTTAATTAGATATTCTGAAGTTTATTTTCTTTAGCTAACTTCACTTTCTATTTTTCTTAAACTTTACTGAGAAACACCCGAGTGAGTAGTGAAGCTTTTATTTATCAAAGTACCTTTTATTTATCAAAATACCATGAAAACAAAATTAATAATTAATGTACACAGTATTTGTGCTGATAAACTTAGTCGTGTATCATATATTGAAGAAACATAAAATTAAATACACATATTAACGGATTAAACACAGCTTGAATCTTCATATCAAAATCTACAGATATTTACAACAAATTAAGACAACTTAGATCAAATGAAATTTAATAAGAAAAATTATTCTGAAAATAACTAGAAGGAGGGGGATTTAAGCTTCATTAATGCATGCAAGGAAACATTTTCCTTAATTACGTTTAAAAATTAAAAGGTGGGAGATTTGGTGATCCACTGGAAGACCTGGATATGAAAAAGCAGAAGAGTTTGCAGCTACGTATGTATATACATCATAGCATCCAACCTTGAACTATGAAAAGCTAAAAGTTTCTCATGAAAAACAGGAAGTTTCCATGCAGCAATGATACCATTTGAAAAAAACTCCAAACTGATTAAAAATGGCTTTATAATGCATGATTTAGGTTATACAGTACTATAAGTCTGTAATCCGGACACGTCGGGGCTTCGGCGATTCCAGATTAGGGGTTTTTTCTGGATTATAGATCATTAATTTAAATCTGGTAAGATGGCATGCAGAAATTATACAAATAATAATATGAAACCGTAATTTATGAAATAAAGAGCAGTTATAATCTAAAGGGTATCAAAATTTACAAAAAAAGCTTAATATTTATTTTGTTTACCTTATTAAACATTTCTTTCAATGTAAGTTGTTTAAGTTGCTTCGTTTTTTGTGCTAATACTTTCTCTTTAATTCTATAAACAGACATAATTTCTTGTTTAGTTACAAAGTTCCACTGTTCAAGTCCTGTAATTGCTGTGTCAAGAATACCGACTAACTTGTCAATCAAAATTTTTTCATTTTCAATAACCTCTCTGTCACTTTCTTCACTATCGGAAGCAGTATTTTCTGGATCTAGAACCATATACAGATTTTGCCGCCCGTTAATTGATTGATGATTGGGGCATTGTCGTCGCAATGAGAAACTTTTGTTATATCATCTTCATTTATTACCACTTCTCCACATTTCTTTTTACAAAATCCAATAACTGGAAAATTTCATCATTAGTTTGCGATGTCCGAAAACCTTCAAATTTGCAGCAATCATCTTCATCGTCCTCACCATGAAATATGGTAGATGGCCATATGCTTTATGGCCATCAAAAATTGTCTTCTTTATTACATAATTAAAACAAAACTACATTACATGAAAAATTATTCATATCTCAAAAATACTTACAGAGACAAAAAAAAAAGTGCAATTACCCCTGTAATTTTGGTTTTCTATTGGTTTTTTGTACACACTAGTATGAGTTGCAAACTTACTTTTCTTAAATGTTAATGTTACCTTTTGTAACGTATGCAGGTAATAATAAATATTTTATGCAGCTTTATACATTGTATTTATTACGTATCTGAAAGTTTTAGCTACAACTTAATATTTCATCTTGGTTATGATCATTTCTAAACAGGAAATGGCACAGGAAATATTTTTTGGCATATTTTTTAAAGGATCAAATGAAAATCCAAACATGCAAATAAAAATAAAATAGCATAAAAGCTAATTTATATTTTTTTATTAATAAGATTATAAAAGTTTAACTTGTAATATAATTTTATTAAGCAAAACATTTTGCAAATGCAATGCAAAGTATCTGTAAGAAAGCAGATGTTTCACTATGAATGCAATAGCAAAAACAAAAAACAAAAAAGAAGAAAAAACCTCAAATTTGTTCTTATGGTCATGTTACACCGTCTAGATAAAGAAAAGTAAACTAAAATAAATAACATGAGATAGTCAAAAAACATGGAAATGATATGCCCATTCCACATACACTCAGGTCATACTGCATAAAAAATGGTTGCCCGTATGATGCATGGGCAAAACTGTTAAACATTAAATATAAAGCTTAATTTCTGTAAACCTGTTTCAGTATGTCATGACTTTCTTTCATAGATTTATTGGACCTGAAAGAGGCCTTTAAATTTGTTCAATGCTACATTTTATAATTACTACTACACCTTTGCCAAGAGAATTATTGACAGAAATCTATGATGTCTATTTCTACAGTCCCTTCATACATGTTCAAACATATTAAGGAGTATATTGCTTAGGAAAGCCATGTCTCTTCACTAAGATAGTTTTTCTACTATTTAAAATGTAAACTGCGCAATATAAAATTGTGAGGCATGTTTAAGCACACCCACTATTGCATCAATCAAGGATATATCCTCAGAAATTAATAAATTATATGTTGAACTCAGCATGTTTGTCTGCAAATCCATCTTTTCATCTATGCAATATTGTCAAGCTATCTTCCATGACGCATTTTATTTGTGTTTAAGCTACATCTGTCTACAACATTTAGGCCATGACTAAAAAGTGAACTGGTTTCATTTTATGCAAAAACTACATCATCAGATATATATATGTAAAATATAAAAAAATACTACGGCTTTGCTCTACGCGAACATGCAAACTTTAATTAACTTTCAGCAATTCAGGATCTTCCCCCGAGACCAGTACCTTCTAGAATTTGCTAGCCTATTACGTAACCACGACTATAAATATTGAGTATGCGCCATTTTTCAGTCAGGCTGCTTCCTAATATCGCTGCTACAAGACTCTGTGCTGCTCTGTCCATCTTTCTTTCCTTTGTTAGAATTAGTTATGATGCAGACTTTGTTAGAATTAGTTATGACGAAGTTTAAATTCAATCCTACTTAGTTAAAATCACTGTGAATATGTAATTTAGAGAGTTTCATATAAAATGAAAATGATCTGCTAATTGGAATAGATAAAAATGGGCAATTAAAAGCTAAATCAATTTCTGTCGTCTATGGATATGGGCTTACCACTCTGCTAAAGAAATGCCTGAACTTTGATGCCAAGCTTCACCACGACTGCAGAAATATCACATATATATTGGAAAAATGGAGAGTTTATGATTAGGAGACCTTCCACTTCCATTACATTTCTATATTAATCACACAGAATCACTCCTCATTTCACATTTTAAGTTAGTTTTTCAGTTGTAAGTTAAAAACCAGTATTATTCTGGACTATGAAGACAACTATCACTTTTATAATACCATATTTACTCATATATTTCTACTCTTCATGTAATTTTCTCCCTAGTTGTTTCAGCATATGATTTAGAAACTTCTGGTTTATGGTAACAATTTAAAATATGCAAGCAGGAAGGTATTTCATGTAGGTAAAAAGAGTATTATTGAAATTAATAAATCTTTTGAATTGCATAATATAATAATATTAGTGTGTCTATGCGAGCATTTTAATGTGTTTATCCTTTAAAACATCTCTCTCTTCAGAAAAAGCATCCACTGCATATTTATTCCCTCCCTATTTTCAAATGCTAAAATTAGTAAAAAGAGGGGAGAACATGACAGCAAATACTATTAAAAAACACAATTTAGAAAGATATGCAAAACTTTATTTATAGAATATTCTTTCAGTTTTACTTTCTTTTACTGATACAAATCCACAAGTAAATAAATTCTATTTTGGCTGGAGGGAAACTTCCATAAAAATACAAAATTAAACACAAACAGAAAACTATCTCAAGAAAGATCTTTAACATTTTAGAACTAAATGGAAAATGGAGTCTCCAGATTTTTTTTAAATTCTTTCAGGACAGTAAATTTAAAGTACACATACATAGAAATTGTTTTACAAACCTTTGAGCCACTAACAAGAATATGCTTATGCTGGCGAAACACGTCTAATGCTAATACTATATCCAAATGACCCTTGAGCAATTGACAACTCAAAGATGGAAATTGAAAAATTTTTATCTGAGCGCTATTTGTAGCTACAGCAAGACGATCATCTTCAGCACCCATGAACTTAATGCTCAATATATCATCATTGTAACCTATGAACTAAAGAAATATTTAATAATAAAACTATAAATTCAGCAGCTAAAAAATTTGGTAATGTATGAATATTTTCAGTTTTATCAGTTCATAAAGTACATATAAATTAAAATAGTAAAATTTCTTTATAAAATAGAAAATTGTAGAAAATTTTGCTTCTGGTGTACATCAAAAATACCACTTTCATAGAACCTTTTCATGATTACTTTGTTATAGCAATAAGAGAAATAACTTCAGTAATAAATAATTTAAGTTTAATAAAAATGTGCCTTCTTTGTTTTCACAAAACATTTAGTAATAAATAACTTACTTTTTTAATGATCATCAACGAGTTCAGCTTAGATTGCAGTTAGGCACCGCAGCAGGTGCAAATGAACACAGTTTGCATTACACATTTATGATTGACAGATGTCGTGCATATTTGGGAAGTTGGTGTATTTAATTATGGCAAAGCACACTAGGGCTATCTGCCTAAGGGATGGGATGCCTTCGTGGAAGACTTTCTAAGGGAAACTGGCTCATATACACGTTACACTTGGGGAAAACCACAAAAACACCCAGCCCGTTCGTGGGATTCGAACCTCGGACCGAACTACCAGTGTTCGGCGACTTTACCGCTTGGCCGCTCCATATTTGGGAAGAAAGAATTGTTTAATACAGTCAAAAGTCTTTAATCCAGACTCGTCGGGACTTCGATTCCGGATTATAGGTTTTTCTGGATTACAGATCATCAGTTTAAATCTGATAAGATGGCATGCAGAAATTATAAAATTAAAAATATGAAACCGTAATTTATAAAATAAAGAACAATTATGATCTAAAAGGTATCAAAATTTACAAAAAAAAAAAAAAAGCTTAATATTTATTCGTTTATTTTATTAAACATTTCTTTCACTACGCGCATGCGTAAAGCATACATTACGCATAGTCGAAATTAGAAAACTGCAACCAGAAAACTATTTAATAATTATAATGACGAGGAATTTGATTTAAATCACATCAAAGATGGAGTACATCGAGATGAAATACTACATTTAGTAAGAAATTATAAGCTGAATAAAATAAAAACATCTGCCCTGAAGATAAGGATACTGCTGACAGGTCCACTTTCAGTTCATTGCAACTTCCAGTTCATTGTGTGATGTCCCCCCCTTCGCTAAGCAGCATGAAATCGATAAACAGATTTTGGAATGGTTAGAGAAACAAAGGATATGCCTTTATCCATTTTTTGCAGCAATTCCACTTTTTGTTTGATGGTCATTGAAACATGCTTTCTCTTTGTAGATCCTTTGGCAGCTGCAGAATCGGAAATTCTTTTTGACATAATCGAAGATTCAAGCTTACTTTTATAAAATTGCTCTAACTGTCTGCAAAAAATAATAAGCCAGATCCAATTAGAAGATTAAGGAGCAACACAATCTGCAACATTAACTAAAATAGATAATTAGATAATTTTGGCTAAGCTTATACCGTCCGTTATACATTAAACGCGCATGCGTAAACGTATTATGCGAATGTGTAAACGTATTATGCGAATGTGTAAACGTATTATGCGAATGCGTAAACGCATATGCGCACGCGTAAAGGTATTTTGAGGTCCAGATTATAGATTATTCCGGATTATGGATGTCCGGATTAAAGACTTTTGACTGTACGTTGAATGCCATTGCGGTAATGGGTGACTGGCACTAAGTTTGTTCATAGTGCCACGGGATCACTAACAACTGGCAAAGCCAAGATTACTAGAAACCCATAATTTGAGTAAATTTTCAATTTTTTCATACTAACATTGTTACTAAAATGGTCTGAAGAAATTAATGTGATGAAAAACATACAAAAATAATTTTATTTATATACATAACAAGAATGCTTAAATATTATGCCTTCATTTTGCGATGTGTAATACTAAAACACTCCCAAGCAAATGAAAGATAAACCAACGCAGTCTCCACAATATGTCATAACTTTTTGGCATATTTTTTTGCCTTTAGCCTACTTAGGTTTTTAAAAAAAATTTTTATAGCATGTTTTACAAAATCCTCACGTGACCCTAGATTTTAGCGGCTTTTTTAAGTTCATGACATGGTACAAGTTCACGACTCAATAAGAGTTGATAAGTTCATTAACTTCTCTGTTGTAATTAATATTTCATCACAATATTCAATGCATAATGAGAAATTCATGCTGGCCAGATGGGCAAGTCATCTAAAATTAGTGTGACATTCAACGCATTTATCTCGCAACCACCAGACATTTAATGAAAAACTGAATATGCAATCACTCGGCAAAAGACACTCATTGGAATGGAAGTTTGAAAATTTGCATATTCATTTACAATACAGCTTCCTAACCTCTTGTTGCTAAAGAACAGTACTTAAATTTAGAGTTTTAATATTAATATGAATACAAAAACTTAATCTATTTCAGGGAACAGAAAAAGATTTTAAGGCAAACTTATTTATTACAGATAGGTGCTTGACTGCTATTTGTTTCTGTAGAGATCATGCCTAAAATTTAGTTCATGTTTACTCTACACAGGGTGAAAATTCTGCACCGCCATTATATGCAGTTAATAGGAACCAAATTCATGTTGAACCTGCAAGATTCAACGGTCTTTCCATTTAGTGATCAGCTGGTCTTATTATTTTTTAACCCGTCAGCACACGCGCTGGGGTAAAATCTACCCCACGTGTAGTCTTTTCTTAGAAAAATAAGGTAAGGTCGTACGTGACCTTTCTAGTACTTTATGTACCTTTCAAGATCAAGGTAAGGAAGGGGTCGTCCAGAGGAATGTTTCCCGTATCCTAGAGATTTTGTGTTTTCAGAGAAGTAATGTGCAATGGGATTGTAGCTATCCCGTGCGTGTACTAACGTTTCACTTCTAGAGAGACATTCATTGAGATGAGTGCATACGAGCGAGAACAGTAATGACTGCAGTTTCTTCTCGCTAGTATTGAAACTGATAGCGAAATTGACGATTCCAATTCTAAGTGGAAATTTGAAAAATCCAACTGAGTGTTTATTGAAACTTTTTGATGAAGAAATAATGGAAGATTTGGTGAAATCAACAAAACATTTACATTTCATCAATACGATTCTCTAGAGAACGTGATGCACAAGAAACGAACATAGCTGAATTGAAGGCGTTGTTTTTCCTAATATATTACGCTGGAGTGCTGAGACTAGCACTTCGCAAAGCAAAGATTTGTGGTCAACTGTTTCTCAAATAACAATGTCTATCAATCGATTCTACTTCCTGTTGAGGTGTATTAGATTTGATGACATAAATTTACGAGCAGAGCGAAGATGGCGGCTAGACTTGCGCTTATTAGAACTCTTACTTCATATGTTCTCTTACTTCATATGTTCCAAAAAAGAGTAAATCGGTTCTTGTTCTATCATCCATGCATGAGGATAATCAAATCGATCCATTGTCTAAAGAGCAGCTCAAGCTCGAAATAATAACTTTTTGCAACTCTACAAAAGGTGTTTATACTGCTGAGGAGTTATGTAGAACTTAGTCTGTTTCAAGAAAATGCTGCCGCTGGCCTCTAACGGTAATTTTCGAACTAACGAATATTGCAGGTATAAATGCTTTTATTATTCATCGATCAAATAACGACCAAGTGAATATGAACCGAAGAGCTTTTCTCAAAGATTTAGCATTAGAGCTTGTAAAAGAGCATGTCCTAAAAAGGGCTGCTATTCTATCTCTCTCGAAAGAACTCAAAACTGGAGTAAAAAGGTTGGCAGGAATAGAAGATGCAGCAGACCTTCACCCTAAGAAATTGTTTGTAAAAATATGTTGTCACACTATGTGAGGATTGTTCAAAACTAGATTATTTGAATAATTAAACTCAGGTAGGAGGGGGGCGGAAAACCTACGTGTTACTTATATTTTTTAATTATTCATATCTAGAATTTATTCTTTGATATGAATAATTGTATGACATTGTATTGAGTTTTAAGGAAAAAAGCTAGTAAGAATGCAGCCTTTTCATATTCCTCTAGTGCTTTATCAAACCACTCTTTATAATAAACATTTATGTTTAAAAAATATGTATATATGAAAACTGATTTTTCTAATATAAGAAAGCATGTATGTATCTTATATAAGTTAGTAATTTTGCATAAATTTCGATTTTTATGGCTTACTTTAGGTAACCAGTATGGAAATGTTTGTATAACTTAAAGTAAGATTATCTCGAATTAAAACTGGAAAAAAGATTTAACAGAATTCACAAAGCTATTAGTCATCTATACATTCATTTAAAACAAATAAAATGCATTTATTTATACATTGGGGGAGTGAACTACGAAAAACAAACATTGGGGTCAAATTTATCCCGCGTGTATACTAACGTAGCGCAGTGAAGAGCGTGTGCTGAAGGGTTAAATTAATATGTCACTTAATTTTTCTATTACAACAGAACTCAATTTATCTCAATTAACTGGGACTGTAGTTTATTTTGAAAGCTGAAATGCCTGAATAATTGGATTATCTTTCTACAAACCAATTAAATTTGTAATCACTGGACTAGCTAAAAAAGTATTGCAAAAATTCAATTATCTTACTTATCACTGAGAAGAAATAATAAATGTAAGTAAGCTCATAGAGTCACTAGAACTTTCAGAAGCAGAAAACAAAAATCAGCAATGGTGTGTTTCCAGTAACACCACAAAATCATCCAGCCAAGTTAGGAAGCAAAACATTCTTTACATTCTCCATCACTTAAAAAGGATGACTAGAGAAGAAAGGACTCAATTACCAAATCCAAATGACGATGAATTATCATCAAGCATGCTTTTTGGGTGCCACTTATAAAATCATTAGGGCATAATTTCAAAGCATAAAATGAGAAATCACCAGTTTAAATCAAAATTTTCCGATTGCTGATCAAACATGCTTCCAATTACACTACAGAAGCACATGGGCAAAGACTTCAAAATTCTTTATAAGTTTTTTAAAATAAAATCTTACGTTCCAAACTATTAAAAAAGTTTCC